ATTTCGTGAAATTATTAACTCTAGGATTACGAAATACCGAATTATCAAAACATCTTAGAATTTAAATGAAGGTTATCGGGTTCAAAAATTTATAAACCTTTTATTATCAGCAATTATATCCACCATATTTAAATATTGCAAACCAGTTTTTCGCTTCAGTTGCGCCATTTCTATGTAATTTTGAAGTAGAACTTCTTTATCCGCATGAGGGTAAAATTTTTACGGAACGTCACGAAGATGTGCAGCGTTTGTGTCGAAGAAAAGGGAGAGAGCGATTGAGACCGATTGAGAGACAGTGAGAAAGGTGAATCACCTTATAGAAATTCTATTTTTAAAATTAAAATTTCGTAAAGAGAATTTTATCTAAGAAATAAATTTAAAAAATTAAATTATTATTTGTATTAATTTTCAACAATTTTAATATTTTAATGACAATTAAAATCATTCAATTGCTAACATATCTTCCTTTTCCTTTCCCTCTAAGTCTCAGTAATCTAAAGTTTTAGATTTGTATAAATATGAGCACGAGTTAGTAAGTAATCAGTTTGCCAAAGAAGTTTCACTTCTGACATGTGTACTTTGTACGCACGGGCTTTTTTTAAAATTTGTCTCTTCACTCTCTTCAATCAAGAAGCATTACAATCTACAAGGAGCATTATAATCAAACTTCAAACATTTTTTTATTAATAGCCGCACAAACAAAGCCACACAATTAAAATCACAAATTAGAAAAAAAACAAATATCACAAAAGCTGCCCACTGCCCACTGAAGTATTTCCGAACCAATTCGACTTAGGGCCCTTCAAGAAAAGAGCGTACCAATTCTTGAAAAGCCGGCAATGCTCTCGCGAGCCCTCTGGCATTGAGAGTGTCCATGGGCGGCGGTATCACTTAACATCAGGCGAGCCTCCTGCCCGTTTGCCCCCTGTTCTATAAAAAAAAAACAAGAGACATCTACAACTACCACCCGATTAGTCTTCTTTCAAGTGTGTATACAATATTCATGTCAATATTACAAAGCCGACTGGGACCGACAATCGATAACCATCAGCCAGTAGAACAAGCGGGGTTCCGCTCCGGATATTCTACAACGGATCATATACATGTTTAACATCGCTTTTATTGACTATGCCAAAGCGTGTGACACAATTTATCACGAGGTTATTTGGGAAGCCCTTAATAAATGTCAAATAAACAAGAACTATACTAGAGTATAGTTACGCCCAAAAAAAAGGTGGATAGAAGAAATAGAAGCGGTAGCAGGAAACGAACGCCTATAGTAACTAAAATAGAGTATTAGCACCATGGTTTTGGTTTTATTTCACGCTGCAATAGCGCTTGGGTCATTGGGCGTACCATCGTAAATCTAAAAGCGATTTGTGCCAACTATTTGAATCATAATTACTTATTGAGAGACATCCTCCAACTAGACGGCTGTTAAACTGTTAACTGTGAATGTTTTATTGCCACTTGCTCCATACATACCGTTTACTTAAATAAATATCATCTTAAAAACACCATTTCACGGACATCCAAAAGGTATTTCTTGGACAATCTGGAGTGTGATTGTTTCATATTTACATATATGTATATCGTGTTGTTAACTAGCTGACCCGGCAAATGTTGTTTTACCATGTATTTCAAGTAAGCATTTTAGTCAATAAAAATAACTATCTACGATAATAAAAAATTGGGGTTGATTGTAGAGGGGTGAAATTTATGGGTTGTATGTATTTTTGTATTCTGTATCATAAAAAAATAAAAACAAAAAAATTTGTCTAAAAAATAAAACTACATTTAGGGGGATGAAAAATAGATGTTGCGGGCAAAAACACGGCACACAAAATTTCACGAAAATCAGTCGAGCCATTTTGGAGGAGTTTAATTACAAACACCGTGACAAGATAATTTTATTAGATAAGAATTTTTATCTCTCTTCAATCTGCGTTTAATAATTTATTTTTTCTGAAGTCTTTAGTTTTACGTAATTGAATGTATATTGTGGTCTGGTGCTTCTTACAATTAAACCTCAAAGTGTTTTTTTGTTAATTAATTTATAATGTTTAAACAATTAAAAAAAACTAAAAAATTAAGTCTAACCATCGATCGAACACTATACCATCTTTAAGGAGTTATATTTGCATTGCCGAAACATACGCCTTCTGTCGCGATACCCAGGTGAAAAGCCCAGAAATATCCTCTTCGCCGATGAAAAAAATTTTACGATTGAAGAACACTACAATAAGCAAAATGATAATGTGTACGCTCACAGTTCTAAGAAGCTGCTCAAGTGGTCGGAAAGGTACAACGTGGTCATCATCCTGCGTCAGTGATGGTTTGGTGGGGCGTGTCTTATCAAGGAGTCACAAAACTACATTTTTGTGAGAAAGGAGTGAGAACTTCATCCAAGTGTATCAGATACAGTCTTGGATCATGTTGCGAAATCTCTCAGCAATAAACTTTTTAAAAATATATCGTGGACTTTCCAGCAGGATTCTGCACCTGGCCACATGTTTTAAAAATTGTGTTAAGTTTTGACACAAATGATGGAGGATATGTATGTAGGATACGAAGTTCACCAGGTGATCTAATCTCACATATAAATCAATGTTGGTTATCACAATAATCCAAGCGTCTGCCATCTGTCTGGTAGATTTACACAATAATTTGCATCCTGATATAATATTATATAGAATAGACATTTTTAAGACAAAATACTAAAAAAAATAAAAAATTCATAAAGTAATACACACGTCACACACTTAAATCTGCGTCACCAAATTGTCTTTTACACATGTTTTTGTAAGTCGCTATTGCTGTCTTAAGTAATAACAAAAATTCGCCGCTTGAAAATTCGCTCAGAATAAAAATTTCGCACTAGCAATTGTATCAGTACGAATTTATAAAAAGACTATCGATTAGGATAAAATTATATTTGTACGAATCGCTGACCAAGGCAGGCGGCATTCGAAAGGTTTATGGAGTTAATAAGTTACCAACAACCACTTTTCAACGTATAAGAATAATAATAATTTATAGATATTTTTCTACTAATTGCAATTAAAATTTGTCATTATTTTGTAACCATGAAATACATAAACCGGCAGAAACATTCACTTTATTGCGGTAAATTATATAGTAAAGCTTATAAGCTACTTACTATTTATTTAACATCACCACAAAATCTAATATAACTTCGCAACAGTTCCCTTCGAAAGTGGGTGTGATTTGAGTTATTAGTATATTTTTAAATCTAATATTTTGATAAATAACTAAAAACACATTACTGTTTAACCCTTGAAAGATAACGTGCGCCTCAGAGGCGCCCGCGAAATATATATTTCGCTGCCATTTTGTTACCGACGCGCATACAAGTTTGTGTTTCCGCGCCAATTCAGTCCTTGGTCATCACTTCCGAGAGACGGCTACTTCTGTTCGGTAAGTACCACAGGTTTGCTGTTAGAGCGATGCGTTGCGCTCGGGAGGCGCATGTTTATCTTTTGTGTAACTTTCGTCACTTTCACAGTGATTTTGTTTTTATAATTTTTTACCAATGTACGGTAAGTTTAAAGGTAGGTTTTTTTTATTGGTGAATACTTATTGTAATTCATTATTTTCGCATCATGGCGAACAGAAGAGTGTTGGATGAAAGACAAATTGTTTATTTATTGAATGAAGAAGATGAAGGTGCAGAGGTCGGCAGTGACAGTGATATCGAGGACCATGTAAGTGAAGACAATGTGCAAAGCGATACTGATGATGAGTACGTAGTTGAAGCTATGATTTATGAAAATTCAAATGATCCTTCATCGCAGAATGTCACTGAAAATACTGGACATGACCAACGCCGCCTAGTGATGTGATCAGGGGCAAGAATAGGCATGTATGGGCTACTGCTAAAGGACAAAATAACAGAAGAACGTCTGCAATCAATATAGTTCATTCCAATAGAGGGCCTAGTCGCATGTCTCGAAATATTTTTGAACCACTTCCATGCTTTGAGTTATTTATAACTGACGAGATTATTCAAGAGAAAGTATTGAATTGAAAGAAGAGAATAAAAAGACAGTGTGCGCCGTACGGAGAACATAAAAAAGATGTTGGCAACAATTGTCTTTAGCCGTTGATTTTTCCAGTATTTTTTAAAATTTGTTAAACTGAACGCAACCACTTAACATTATGTAGTCTGTATCTGTCAATGTAGTCTGTTATAATAATTGTATCGCCCCTGTCTGTATCAAGAATTATAGCGGTCCGCATCATTGTCTAACTCAGCTGTTTTATTTATTTCTCTTTACTAAATTCCTACTCTAAAATAGTTTGTAACAAAATTGAGACTGATTATATTATAATTAATTAATTAATAAGAAAAACACTATAAAAGTTACCTATTTTTAAAAATTTCTACCTAAGTACAGAAGACTTCAAATTTTTGTTAAGGGTTTATAAATACCTACAAATTTTCATATTTTGAATAAAAATGTATGACAATACTTATGTATTTTATTTACTTATTAATAATTCAACAATTAACAGAAGTGAATGAAATAAAAATAATTGACATTCATAAAAAAAATCAGCTATTAAAACAGTGAGCCTCTCAGGCGCATGTTTATCTTTTCAGTACAAAAAATAACGTTATCTTTCTAGGGTTAAGAACAATATTAGTGGGTGATATATTACAACAAACGTGAAACTCGTAGTAGTAATTGAATTATTAAAGGAACCAAAAAATGCGTTACAACCGCCGAAATAAAATGATAATTATAGTAGGTATTACATTTTGGTAGTTAAATCCTAATCGACAGACTAATTGCATAAAAAAATTCATCAATCACAGAAAATACCACGGAATACATAAATTTGGGCCGGATTTAGCAAAACATTTTACCTATGATGTTTAATGAAGCGGCACTAGTGACTCTCCTACCCTCTACCCTCTTATGTATTTCGTGAGAAATGCGTTCAATATAAAATAACTATATTTATAGTATTTTTACCTTTAGATGTACCCGCTTCGCTGGCTTGCACGGAGGCCTGTTCGTCTGCCGCAGAAGACGCTGCCTGTTCCGGAGTCTGCATCTTGTGACACACCTCGAAAGCTTGGCCGACAGTGCGAACTATACGCATTGCTTGACTCTGAAAAGATTTTTTTAAATCAGCTATGGTACTATAAAAACAACGACATTTCTTAATATAAAGGGAAGTTGAATCTTAAGGGTTCCGGGCTGATGGGATATCTAATATTTGGGGGACTAGAGACCCCGAAGCTTTTGTTCTCTCTATTCTGAACTTATATCTCAGTTGTTAGTTCTTCTTTTCTTTAGCTTTAATAGACCTGTAACTGCCACGTTACCGTGTAGTACCTCAAGACCTTCAGCTAAAAGAGGCAAACTGGCAGAGACTGATTGAAGATTAGGCATGTAGGTCGCCGATCTCCTGTATTAAAGCGCATACCCTCAGAGGCAGTGGTTATCATAATAGTCGGGAGGAACAGACGAAAATTACAACTGAATGGCAGCTACGAGATGGGAAAATAAAGGAAACTGGTCAGTCGATAGGAGGATGACGTGGAAACCACAGTTGGTGTTTGGGCTGTGATGCCCGGGATGTAAATAAGGGGAGAGAGGTAGTAGAAGTCTACATGTTCCAGAACACTGTAGTAGCATATATACGCCGGTTCGGGAACACTTTGTGACCAGTGTAATGAGAGCTCTGTGTGGTAGGTGTTAGTTGGTGTTTGAGGGTTCATGTTATGTTGGTGATTTTTGGTGTTCATAGTAAATTTTTTGTTAGAGCTGTGTTTGGGTAGTGCGATGTATGTGGCGGTGGGTCTTGGGGCTCTGGTTTCTGGTCGGCTACATTTTGGAGGGGTCTCGGAGCTCTGGTTTCTGGTTGCATACATTGTAATCAGTATCTAGTTGCTGGTCGTGTTTGTTTATCGACAGAAATTGCGGTTCAATAGGTCTTGGAGCTCTAGTTTCTGGTCATTGAGGTGAGTGATAACTAGTATTATATTATCTGTGGTAATCTAGTAGTAGGTAGCAGTTTATTGTCTCAATTTTGTTTTTGATAGAGCGAGCAGTCGTCTCGCGCACATACAATGGTGGGCCCTGAATATCCATACTACACCTCAAAAGAAGCGCGAATGAAGAGTTTTGCTGACTGGCCTTTAAGCAATCACCAATCGCCGGAGGAACTCGCGGATGCTGGATTTTTTTACATTGGCTGTGAAGATAAAACTGTGTTTTTTGTGGTGGCGGTTTGATGGATTGGGAAGCGGAAGACGATCCTTGGTTGGAGCATCTCAAATGGTTTGGTAGGTGTCCTGTCGTGCGTGTTAAATTTAATAAAAAATGTTCATTCTATGATAAAAGCTAGGGAAGAAATAAAAAAAAAATCTTTAAAAAACTGTGTTTTATTTAATTTTATGATGCCCCCAAGCTAAAGTGGTTATACAATCTTCAGGACAAATGTATCTTTTATCATCATTACCACAGAGGACTTTTTTTCTGAAAATTTTTGTATAAACATCATGCTTATCACTAACAAACGTATGCATGTTATCATAGAGTTTAAAATCGAGATCAAGGGCATTCCTATAATTTTCAAAGTTTAATTTTGTAACGATTGCAGCAGATGTGCCTTGTTCACGCGCACGGCACATGATCTGCGCCGGCGGGAGTGGGGCGCGGGCGCCGCGGCTGCGACCGACCGGCAGTTACAATTACGGACGCACGGCGCGCGACACGAATAAGAATTTTATTTTAATACACATTTAAATCCAGTCCAGGTTTTGTTTGATTGCTGCAATTGCAAATTCATCAGCCAATCCATCTCCCGGACAAAATTTTTTGTTTTTTTAATTTGGCGACCGTGACAGGACATCGGTCTGCATGCCAAATTTTGTCCGGGAGATGGATTGGCTGATGAATTTGCAATTGCAGCAATCAAACAAAACCTGGACTGGATTTAAATGTGTATTAAAATAAAATTCTTATTCGTGTCGCGCGCCGTGCGTCCGTAATTGTAACTGCCGGTCGGTCGCAGCCGCGGCGCCCGCGCCCCACTCCCGCCGGCGCAGATCATGTGCCGTGCGCGTGAACAGGCTCCCCGCCTTGGGAACCCTGGTTACCAAGAGACTCGTCCTCTGGGTTGATAGCTGGTAGCAGACAGACCCTGCCTAAGGCCCTCTGGATTACGCCACGTGAGGTCGTGAAATCGGCTACTCGAATGATGCCGTCTGCCCCTGGATACAGTTTCTTAACTCGTCCCAAGCGCCATCGCATTGGGGGAAGGTTGTCGTCCTTGATGACAACAAGATCGCCCTCTTTGAGTGTTCCCCTCCGCTCTCGCCACTTAGTCCGCTGCTGCAGCTCACTTAAATATTCCCTATGAAACCGGTCCCAGAAATGCCGCTTAAGCTGTTCCAATTTTTGGTATCTGTTTGGATAATTTGTTAAAATAGGTGGTTCTGGTAAAGCTGTCAGCGGCCGGCCTATAAGGAAGTGCCCTGGAGTCAGAGGAGTAACATCGGAAGGGTCTGACGTTAGAGGAGTTAACGGGCGGGAGTTAAGAATTGCTTCAATCTGGGTGAATAGCGTCGTGAGCTCCTCGAACGTCAGGTTCGCATTTCCTATTACACGTTTCATTAGTAACTTTGCTGAACGGATTCCAGCCTCGTTCAGCCCCTCCAGTGAGGGGAATAAGCGGGCGAAAAATGAAATTTAATGCCCTCGTCGTGGGCAGCCGCACTTACAGAACTTTGGCTTGCCTGCAACATTCTGCCTAGCTCATTATTTGCACCCACAAAGTTGGTGCCATTGTCACAATAAATATCATGAGGCTTGCCACGACGTGATATAAATCTACGCAAACACATTAAAAATGCTTCAGTACTCAGACTACTAACCACCTCCAAAGTTAATGCCTTAGTGCTTAAACACACAAAAAGACTAAGCCAACATTTGGATATCTTACATCCTCTGCCCTTGCGGTCTACGATTGAGAAGGGCCCGCCAAAGTCTACGCCTGTCGCGAGGAAGGGATAGGTAAGAGTGACTCGAGGAGGGGGTAAGTTACCCATCATAGGCTGTATTGAGTTACTCTGCATACGAACACACACGATACATTTCCTAAATGTACTGCGTGCAAGATTACGTCCCCGATGGGCCAATATTGATCTCGTATAATGCTAAGTAATAATTCAGGCCCACAATGTTTATGACGCACATGTTCCTTCTGAAACAACAGTTTCGTAAAGTTATGACGTGCACATAATAAAATGGGATGTTTTTTAGAATACTCACAGATTGAGTTTTGGATTCTGCCTCCAACCCTAATCAAATCATGCTCATCTAAGTAAGGGTTTAATGACAAAATCCTCGATTTATGATGTATCTTTTTATTGTTTTTTAATGATTGCACCTCATTTGGAAAGGAATCTTGTTGGCAGGTTTTGATTAGGGTCTGAGTAGACCTATCTATTTCATCGTTACTCAGATCACCACTTAGCCGCGAATCCTTCTTTGTTTTACAATTGTGAATAAATCTTAAGATATATCCTACCACCCGGATCATTCGTTGAAATTTCGAGAACCTATCAAACTCAAATGAATGCTCAGCAGACACACAACATGAATATACTTTGAGCTCCGGAAGCTCAACATTTTCTATAGGAGCGCTTGGCCACTCCGTTTTAGGTTTCATTAAAAAGGGTGGGCCACTCCACCATAATTCTAAATCTTGAAGCTTGCTAGGGCTGACTCCTCGAGAAGCTATGTCTGCTGGATTCATTTCTGTAGAAATGTGATGCCATGTAGATTTGTCAGTCAGTTCATGAATTTCATTTACTCGATTGTAAACAAATTGCTTTAGATTACTAGGGTTGGTATTTTTAATCCATCCCAGCACAATTGTAGAATCACTCCAGAAATATTTTTGATCAAACTTACGACTGAGTGACTGACAAACCTTTGAACTTAACTGAGCACCAAGTAGGGCCGCTGCCAGTTCCAGCCGCGGTATGGTACTGGGCTTCAAGGGGGCAACTCTAGCCTTGGCGCATAATAACTTGACTGATACGTTGTCCTCTTGATAAGTACAACGTATAAATACACATGCTGCAAATGCACTCTGGGAACTATCGACAAAACAGTGTAATTCCACTGACACTGGAGTGTCCGACGATGGATGCAAAACGTGGCGTGGAATATTTATCGCTTTTATTTGATTTAAATTATTTACAAAGTCACTCCACTGTTTCGATACATCGGCGGACACCAAATCATCCCAGTCCAGTTTAGACTCCCACAACCTTTGTAACAGCATTTTAGGAACAATTGTACAAGCGCTTAGCAACCCTAGGGGGTCAAAAATCTTGCATGTTGCTGCCAGAATAGTTCTCTTTGTGAACGGCTGTTCAATCTGAAAGTCGACTGAAAAATACAGCTTATCCTGTGAGGGACACCAATTCAACCCCAGCACTGAGGATTGATTCTGTAAGTTAGAGTACTGATCATTTGTCTGGGATAAATCCTTTTCAGTACATGTGGTTGAAATGGATTCACTCGCAAATATACTCGGAATGTTAGTTCTAAATTTTCTAAGTGGGAGGCAAGCCTCAGCCAACTTGTCGACGACTGCATCACGTAAGTATTTGAGTTCTGTTTTGTTATCACAACCGGTTATAAGATCGTCACAGTAAAAATCGTTTTTTATAGTATTAGCTACTCGTTTGTCTGAACACTCTGTTGATAACTGAACTAAACATCTGGTGGTCAGATAAGGGGCTGATGCTGTCCCATACGTTACAGTATTGAGCTGCAATGTTCGCAAAGGCTGAGCTTCATTGTCTCGCCATAATATCAGCTGTAAGTGACGTTGCGATTCATCCAGTTTTACTTGGCGGAACATTTTTTCAATGTCCCCCGTTAATACATACTTGTGCTGGCGGAATCGCAACAAAATTGACATCAAATCATTTTGTACTACTGGGCCCACATACTGGATATCATTTAACGATTTACCTGATGCTGTGCGAGCAGAGCCGTTAAAAACGACCCGAAGTTTTGTGGTCTCGCTTTTCTCTCGCAGCACCGCGTGATGAGGTAAATAATTTCCAATAGGCGGCTTCTCTATTTCTGTCAAATGACCTAACGTAGCATATTCATGTATAAAATCACTATACATTTCCTTTAATTTCGGCTGCTTTTGGAAACGCCTTTCCAAATTTAAAAAACATCTCTTAGCAAGTGAGTAAGAGTCTCCAAGAGCCTCAGGAGACTCGCGCAAAGGCATTTTTACTTGGAATCTACCAGACGGTAAGCGAATTGTATTTTCATTAAAGGAATCTTCACAGATTTGTTCATCTGTTGACAATGATCGTTTTGGCATTATGAAATTTTCCAAGTCCCAAAATTTAGAAAGTGAGTCTTTAATTTCCTGACTAAAATGACATACAGATTTCTTGTTACACTTCACAGATGGCATGGCCAGAGTCATGGGCCCTGAAACCAACCATCCAAACTTCGAATAAATTAACTTAGGTTTATTTTCACCTAACGATATCTGGCAACCTCCCTTAACAATATTCCACATTACATCGGACCCAATTAATATATCAACTTTGTTACTTTTATGGAAGCTTGGATCGGCGAGTGCAGTATTGTTGGGTATGTTTAAATCCTCGGGATCGATTTCTACACTAGGTAAGTTTTCTGAAATATTTGATATAATCATACAATGTACATCCGTAGTGTAGGCATTAATTCTTGACTTTAATTTTAATGTACAATATTCAGTGGCTGTAGATATTGAATTGTTCAGTCCACTTATACACCGTGACTTAGTACTATTAGTTTTAATTTTAAGTTTATTTTTCAGGTTATCTGTGACAAACGAACTTTGACTTCCACAGTCCAAAAGAACGCGTGCCAGGTAAGTACTGTTGTCACGCTCAACGACGACTTCAACCACTGCAGTGCCCAGGAGGACTTCGCTGTTACTCGAGTATGAGGTAAGTGTGGTCAGAACAGTGCTAGTGCTAGCCACAGTATTCAAATTTTGTTTTTCATGGTTAGTGTTTTGTTTTACCTCGTTAGTTTGTAAGTTCAAGTTACTTTCGTTTTGCAATACTTTATTGACACTATTATTATTATGACATAATAAACTATTATGCTTTTTGTTACAGGCTCTGCAGGAGCTGAGACGACAGTTGGAAGTGGAATGCCCTGGACGAAGACAATTGGAGCAGAGCTTGCGTTTGGAAACTTCTGCTTCCCTGGCTTCGATACTCAAATTCTTAAATTGATCACATTTATACACACGATGATTCTCATTACACATAAAACATGATCCATTTGGCGTAGATGAGAAAAAAGTTTTAATGTGTCTTGGTTCCTTACTACTAACAAACCTTTCATTTCTATTAACCTGAACTGCTCTAGAGCCGCCTTGGACGGTCTCTAAAATATCAGCACGTTGTCTTAAAAATTGGTAAAAATCTTCTAGTTCTATCGACCCACCAAGGTTCAATTTGTACTCTTCCCACTTAATGCTAGTTACACTATCTAGCTTTTGCACTACTATATAAATTACGAGACTATCCCACTTATCAGTGTGCTCACCAAGCGTATTTAAAGCCCTCAAATTCTTTGAAACATGATCTATAATGTACCTGAGTGATCTATGCGACTCCCTATTTAAAGATTCAAGGCTGAATAACGATTTGAGGTGGTTATTAATCAGTACGTTTTTGTTATTATATCTGTTACACAGTAGTTCCCATGCAACCAGGTAATTTTCACTCGTAAACTCAATAGATTTTATCGTGACAACGGCACCACCCTCTAGAGAGGACCTTAGGTAATGAAATTTGCTAATGTCAGGTAAAGTATCATTTGCATTGATGAGCGAGTCGAAAGTGTCTCGAAATTCCAGCCATTTCAAGTAGTTTCCATCAAAAGTTGGTAATTTTATTGTTGGCAATCGAATCTGATTGTTTAAGTGGCTATTATTATTGTTATTACTGGAATTACTTACAAGAGAAAGTCTATGCTGGACAGCCTCGACTCGCTCATCTCGTTTTGACACTATTTCCTGGGCACTAGACATGACCGCGAAGAACTGGCTTTCAATATCGATTCTCTCGTTCAACCGTTTATCTAAATTACTTTCTAAATCTAATTCTTCTATTTCAGATTGGACCTTTTCAAAGTCTGAAAACAATTCCTTTATTTTGGTTAGTCTCACATTAATATCACTTATATTTTTTGACGTAATGTTATCGATTTCAATTTGATCGATAACCCCGAGAAAATCTTTGAATACGGTTAATCTCGCTTTAATTGTCCCACGTTTACGAACTAACAAAGCCAGTTCATCCCGGTCCGACAGTTTACTTTGAGCCATGATTAATTTGCAAATGATATAAAAGATGTGGGCAAGAATGTGCAATCAAACCAAAATCCGTTGAAGCGAAGCGGGTAGACCCAGCGCTACACAGCGGCCGGACCGCGAGTATAGGTCTCGCGCAGCAACAAGCGCGCAGCGGAGAATGATCGCGCCCAACCTGGAATGTTCGGCGACTCGGCTAAGCGATGTGCAATAGATGCGCGTATTTAAGCGCGTGAAGTGATAGGGAAATTTGTGAACTAAGAAAAGGCTATAGTTGAAAATATTCAAATTTCATGCAAAGCGAATGAAAATAATAAGTGTTTAACAGTTACGGAACTCTAAATTCAAAGATTTATTATTTAACAATTGGAGAAAATAAGATTTTATGTTTGGGTAATTACGTAGGATCGTTACTTTATGTAACACTATTTTGCTATACTATAATTCAAAGGAAAATAGTACTGTATGTATATGTATATACAGTTGTGACCCCTAGTTTGGGCCGTTAAATATCTATAACGCGCAAAGTTACTTAATGCAAACGTAAAGACAAAGGAAATAGTAAATATTGTACCCCTAGTTTGGGCAGTTAAATATCTATAACGCGCAAAAATACTTATTGCAAACGTAAAGACAAAGAAAATAGTAAATATTGTACCCCTAGTTTGGGCAGTTAAATATTGTACCCCTAGTTTGGGCAGTTAAATGTAGAACTAAACGTTAGTTTTACTTTTTTTAAACTTGTAGGTAGATTTCCGTAGTACCCGTTGAATGATTCTATACGTGTAACTCGGAATTTTAATCGACTATTTACTTGGAAAATAGACTTTAAAACAAGTAATTAACGCACTTTTTAGGTTGACTCACGACACTATTCAACACTGATTGAAATCGATGCAAATCGGTGCAAGGGAAGTGATTAGGTAAGGAACGGGCTTACTTCCTTATGAATCTTCTGAATATATTCTTATGGTCTTCTGGACTTCACCGGCCCTTGGATGCAGACCGAGTGTCCTGTCACGGTCGCCAAATTTTGTCCGGGAGATGGATTGGCTGATGAATTTGCAATTGCAGCAATCAAACAAAACCTGGACTGGATTTAAATGTGTATTAAAATAAAATTCTTATTCGTGTCGCGCGCCGTGCGTCCGTAATTGTAACTGCCGGTCGGTCGCAGCCGCGGCGCCCGCGCCCCACTCCCGCCGGCGCAGATCATGTGCCGTGCGCGTGAACATGCCTTTATTTCTTTTTTTAATAGTCAAGTGACTATCATCATCATCATCTTGTATAATGTAACTGTACATTTTTGATCGTAGACCTATAAACTCTCTGATAATGCGACCATTACTTTCATCTTTCATTAAACCAACATTTTTTTTATTAACTAAAGGAAGATTGTAAATGTTATCCTTTGAAAAATCAGAGGTGTCGAATCTAGCTTGCAAATCGCATTTAATGTCTTCATAAAAATTGTTAGTTTTAATATTGTAGATGAAAGAGTCAGTATCGGTGTACAGTAATTGAACATTTTGCCGATATTTAGGTAGCATATATGAGTATTGAAATTCATACATGACATATTTTGAAAGTTCTAAAACAGTGAAACCAACGTAAATAGGTTTATCATACTTTATTTTAGTTTTATTCATTTGCACAGCTACTAAATTCTCAGAGAAAATTTTACAGTTATGAAAATTAGGAAGAGATATATATCTCTCAAGTCCATATTATTTACATTTGGTTTTTGTTTTACAATAATTCCATCTACCGCATAGTTTTACATCAATCCTTTTCCCAACATTTTCTATGGTTTTACGAAAAATCAAGTTATTCATGAGTTTGTAGAAATCCTTTTCAAATGAGTTTTTAGCTGCTTGCCTTATGGTAATGTTCAAATCTATGTAAGATCTAAGCCATGGAGATTGTTGAAAAGATAAGACTCGGTGGATTTTTTGCAAACTAAACCATTTTCAATACATTGTTTTAAATTCATATAGTGAATAGTATAGTTTTGTTTGTCGTTGAGAGTTAGCAATAGCTTCTTAGTTTTACCATTAGGTGGAGCTTTGGTTTCAGCGCAAACGGGTAGTCATTGTGTAGATCATGAAGGGAATGTGGATACTCCAAGTCCACTTCTAAAATATATCCTATATCTGAATCAGATCGTTGAGCGAGAATGTCAAATTTTTTAATTTCACAATCACTCAACCATACAAAGTTAGAATGGGGTAGGTGTTGACGCATAGCATGACCATACAAATTATTAACATCCAAGTACACCATAAAATTGCTTTCACCTGCTGTTCGATTGGAGGGATCCGTAAATTTATTATTGGATTTAGCATTTCCTTTTTGAAACTTGACTGATCCCACCTCGAATGCCTGATTGTATGAATTGAAGCATCTCGTAATCAGTAAGAAGTTCAAGATTTACACCCGTCTCTTTTAACATGGCATCCCACGAGAGACCTGGTGCTGTGAGATATCTACATGGATCTAGTTCGTACACACCTAAGCAAATACCGCGAAAGTTTTCAAAAACTTCAGCCAGTAGTAAGATATCTGTTTTAAGATATAAATCAAAGTATTCACCCAACGAGCTACATTCAAATTTTTGCCATACCTTTTGTGCGTGTAGGTAATCATGATCGGAAATGTGTGTTTGTGTTAATTCACTGTAAAATAACTGTTTATCAGGTAGGGAATTTTCTTCAAGCTTAGACCAACAATCAATGTATTCATATGGAAATACTCCTTTTTGCATTATTAGATCCATTAGTTCAGGGTTCGGAACGTAATGAGGAAGTATTTGAAACTGATTGGGCGATAGATTTTTAACTAACTTCTTTAAACTTGTTGGCATAAATTTAAACGAGTCTACAAAGCGCACAGTAATACTTCTGGAGGAAGTTTTAAATTTTATTTTTTTACTGAATGAAATATACTTTTCCTTATGCAAAGGTAAGCATGAAATATTTTCACCATCTCTGGCAGCAAGTTCCTTAATAAATAAATTACTATCATACCCACTTAAATTATGGAAAAATATGGGTACATAGTGCGGATTTGTATATTTCAAGTTACAACTGCTATGAGCCACACCTCTGATTTTTCCTGTCAAATGACAGTGATCAATAACCCTCTCCTCTGTCATTGTTGTAATGAAATCTTTATGACAAATGTGACAACAAGTAGATTTTAATAATGTTTGATGTTCTAGGGTTACATTTTCACACGGTATTATCTATGAAAAAATTCCTGCGATATGATCAAGGTCAGAATAAATATTATCAACAAACTTTTTAACACAATCCTCACCGCGATACATGACAAACTTTGATAGTGACTTATCATAGTTACAAAATAAAATAAAATAAAATATGTTTATTATGGAACATAAGATACATGTATCACTTATTCCACGTCATTAAATTTGAAGGCATCCCTACTCATCGGCAAAGAAGACAGAGGGTGTAGGCCGAGAGAAAAAGCCGGCGTAAAAAACTCTCGGTACTCTTTTAAAACAGCAAATCATCAAACAACACTTATTTAAAACAAATATCGCAAATTGATTAGAAGTAGGTACTTCGGGTACTACAATGTATGTAGTACCCGAAGCTATATGGTATATGCTTATGCGTGTAATAGGTACTTTTAAGTTCAGTTGAGTCTTTGATAGGGCTTAATATCGATTCTGAATCAGCATATATTACAAATGGGGCGCTAAGTTGATGACTCACGTTTTTAAAATGTAAATATTTATTCCATCCGTTTTCAAAACTGACTCATATGGTGGGTAAGCTGATAAACGGTGTTTGTTTGAGATGGGTGGATAGAGAGCGCTCACTACAGCCCAGAAAAAACATGCGTCATCATTGTTCTTCACGTTAACACAAGCAAATTTACGTTGTATCCAAACAGGAAGTGGTATATAAGAGCTTCCTGTTATAAGAGTGTTTATTAACGTTCACTTCTAAAAACTCAATTTTTTCCAAAGCCCATCCACTATCCTTTTCCTGAAACTCTTCACATTTCCGTAACATTTGGGAACAAATCTCTTCATAGAATGAGCATAAATTCGATGAAAGGTCTAAAGTCACATTCTTCGTGTTGAATGACTTTAGATCTCTAACTACCTCTTCTTTCCTCTTGTCCACATCCATGACAAACATTACATATGTACAGAAAAGTTCAAAGTTAGTTTTGATGTGTTTGTATGTTTTTAACTCGAGGGTGAGTAACTGTTGCACATTTCCCGATGCTCCAGCCAAGTATAGCTTAGGATCCAATAGTGTTGATAATCCATTGATTCTATAGGACACAATTCTACACTGGAACGCTGAATCTATAATGTATGTGAAGTAATCACCTGAATCTTGCTTACATAATAACTTATGACGTGTTGTTCTTGAGTGAGCAATTAATTGATTGTTTGCGACTGCAACACTACAGAAAGGGCACTCGTACATTATTTAAAAAAACAAAATTGACCACCTCACAAAAGAACGTTATAAGGTATACTAATAAAATTCTTTTTTATCTGACAAGGATGTGGTAAAACAATGTGGTTAGGTGTATATATAATTTATTTCATAATAGGTATATATAGGTACATATTTTTTAAAATAAACATGAATAAAACAAGTGCTCTAAAGTAAAACATTTGATTTCAACATCTACAAGTGAAGTTTGATCATATATACTATCTAGAAGATTGGAGGCTTCATACAATTTTTTCACTTGGCTAAGCTTAAATCTTTTTCTAAAGAAATTTAAACGGTTTTCATAGTAGAATTTAATTCTTAATAATTGTTGAAGACGTAAGTTAAGACAATTCATGATCTGACACAAATACCACCATTCATCCTTACATAACCTCATCGATTGAGTTCCGGTGAAAATCACAATAAAGTTTTTTTCTACTCCCCCTTGTAGATTAATAAAAGCTATCGCTTGTTGTTGTGTGTTTGGAGTAGAACCGTTACTGAAAAATAGTGATATATGCCTCACATTATCACTTGTAAAAATCGTGTTCCATTCTTGTTTATTCAATGTTAAGCGATTATTGATGCTAATACACACATCCAATTCCACATTCACTTGATCCAATGGCTTCAAAAACATTGTAATGTATGGAATTGAGCTTGAGCCGGTGTGATATACAATTTTACAAAGTTCATAGTAAAATTGAGGAATTGATGGAGTGTATAAAGGTAATAAACTACACATCTTGCCAGCGGGACTGTTTAAGAGGAACTGAACCAATCAGAGCAGTTAACAGACACTGATCAGACCAGTTATCGGATCAGTTAACCAGCACTGATAATAGACTAGCCAGACCAGTTAAACAATCTGTTAACATGTGCTAATAATAGATCAGATCAGTTAACAGACACTGACAATAGACCAGACCTGATTAGATCAGTTAACAGATTAATTTGTTATTTTTCGAACTGATTTAGTTAGAATACTATACTCAAATAGTGAGTCATTTATAATTAAACAGTAAAAGGTGGTATTTGGTACAGATTTTTTGAACTCCATCTCTAGTTTAACAATTCAATAGCACTCCCACCACCTGAGTGAAGCGAATCACTTTGTCTGGAGCAGTCGATGATGATTAAAGGGGTTTTTGTTTTGAAGTGAGGTGGATCTACTTGAGTATTCGAATTTTTTGAATCGTAGTATTCCCTCTTAAAGCTGATAAATGCTTGATACAGAAGTGAGAACACACCCTTTTAAAAATCATTAGAGAATGAATCGTAAGGATAGTACTGAGAATTGAGATATGGGCGAGCATTATAAAAGTTGCTGTGATCAAATAAACTTTTATCTTTAACACCATCATTGTTGCGTGAATGTTGAAATCCGAGTATAATGAAACGGGGTTTCTCCAACTGAGTTTTAACAGTCCATACATGTTTTTGCGAGGCTGGTAACACGGGGTACTCGTAAAGATCCCACGTCCTAAATGCTAAGTTATTGCAGTAGTCGTAGTATGCTTACAGTTTTTACATAAAAGTACAAAAAGTGCGTCTATTTATTTTCACTTTCAAAGCAGTGTGCATCGTTAGAACCATGTTAATTAACCAATCGAACCTATTGCAAACATAACTTTACAAACACAACAAATAATATCTCCTGCTATTGAGTTAATAAACATTTTAGTGAAATTAATGTAGAATATGAAATTGCATTGCAGTGCCATGGTTCAACGAGCAGTTGATTTGTCCCTGAATGTTGCACGAAAATTACCAAACGCTTTCTTCATCTACAACTGATTGAACTATAAATATCTCGGTAAACAACGAACACCACAAGCAGTCAACATGAAGTTTATTGTAGCAATAGGAATGCTCTGTCTTGTGGCGGTGTACGCCAGGGAACTAGATGATGACCAAAAAAGACTTGGTAACAGCCGCCAGTGGAAAATCCCATAAGGATGAAGAAGGAGGTGGCAAGGATCCATGGAGGAGGAAGGAGGCATCACTCTCATCACCATCATGAACACGGAGAAAAGGAACACAAGGGCCACAAAGGACACCATCACCACCATAAAGGAGAACATGGTGATCACGGAAAACCACCACTCTGGGCATCATCATGAGCATGGCGGTGGTTACAAAAAACACTGGGATGAACACGACCATCACGGTTATCATCACGAACATGGACATCATCATAAAGGCGAAAAACACGGTCATAAAAAACATCACGACAAGGGGGAGAAAACCGATGGTTACCACAAAAATACCACAAGGATCATCACTTCTACGATGACCACTATCATGAAGGCAAGCAACACAAGCATGGTAAGCACCACGGCCATCACGAAAATCATGGAGGAGACCACAAAAAGGCAGGTCATCATGAAAGTGGACATCATGAACACCATCATGGCAAGCATGGTCATCATGACAAGCATAATTACGATGAAGATCACCACGGTTACAAGGGACACCATGGACATGAAGAGCATCATCACCATCACCATGACCACGGCAAGAAAGGTGGTCACCGGGTAAAACTAGTGTAAAACCATTATCCTTAAAGATTATGAAACATCAAATCGATGTTGAAAACCGACTTTTAAGAAACGTTAATAGAGCTATTTTGAAAAATGATGTGGTTGTTAAGGCACAGCTTGATGAGGTTTTAAACGCATGCTTGCTTAAGATTAAAAGCATTTCTAGATCTGTAGAGGAAATAAAAAAATATCAGCAACCTTTGCTAGAAGCTGAAAATTAGGTTTTTGAAGTCAAGGTGCTTTTATAGCATGACCAAATATTTAGAACATAAGTTTAACAATTACTTATAAATGACTTGACTTCTTATTTTGACATTTGCATGCCTATTTAAATATGGCCGATTATGCAGATTTTTCTTGTTGTTCGATTTTTTATTTTGTACCACTATCTTAGCAAATAAAGGATTTATTTATTTAAAAAAAAGAAGACAACTATTGCGGTACGAGCAAGTGGCAAGTCGTTCAGGAACTCCATAAAAATGTTCGTAAAAATCTCCCACGGAGACGTTTTATACAAAAAGGATTTGATGACACCTGGCAAATAGACTTGATTGATATGCAAAAATACTCCAGGTACAATGGTGGATTCAAGTACATACTTACATGTATTGATACTTTATCGAAATATGCTTGGGCATAACCGGTTAAAAGTAAATCAGCCGATAATGTAACACGAGCTATGTTTTACTCGACAAACATACAACTCGCTTCGGGTGCCGTATAATAACGCATTTAGGGTGTTGCTGGGGCTGCCTCGCTTCTGCAGTGCATCAAGAATGTTTGCAGAGGCGCGGGTGGATTGCTTTTTCGCCACTATGCGAAAGCGGTGCGCTTCTTTGGTGCGCCGGGTGCGGGGCAGCTCCAGCAACATCTTACGGATGATAGTCGAAAGAATGGAGTGCCCCTATTTACGACACTGCTCCGACATCTCCGCAGGGCTTTGTACCTGATAGTTTTTATTTAACTACTTTTTCCTTATTTTTACTAATTCTCTAACATGGATCTTAAGAAACTATTGTTACTAACTCACTAATCAATCAATGGACTGTATTTGTCTGATTAATAAAAAAATATTATTATTATTATGTCATAACTCATATCTATTGGATGGGGATAGAAGACCTAAAAACATTCAGTCTGATGATGGTCGAGAGTTTTTTAATGAAAAGTTTCAGGTGTTGATGAGAAAATACAATATTAATCATTACTCTACCTATAGTGTTAAGAAAGCCTCTATCGTTGAGAGATTTATCATAACCATTAAAAGTTGGCTTTGGAAAAAAATTGTCTATAATGGTTCCTACAAATGGGTTAAGCAAACCTTGCCAGATGTGATGAATAAATATAACAATAAAATACATAGCACTATCAAGGTTGCCCCAGTGACTGTGAACCGGATGAATGCCAATGCCCTCTTATCTAATGTTTACAATTTTATCCTACCCTAACCTTAATTTAACTGTGGTGACTATGTACGGATAAGTAAATATAAATCAGTTTTCTCTAAAGGATTTACGGGGAATTGGAGTTCGGAAATATTTCAAGTGTTGAAAGTGAATAACACCTATCCCATAACCTACCAATTGCAGGATGAGGAAAAAAACCAATCCTAGGGGGGTTTTATGAAGAAGAGCTGCAAAAAGTAAAGTATCCAGATGTCTACCTAGTGGAAAAAGTGTTGAAAAGAAAAGTTGATAAAGTTCTAGTGAAATGGTATGGTCTGAATTCAACCAGTTGGATAGATAAAGAAAACAAGATTGAATAATATATGTTTTTATTACATTGCTATAATAGTATACTTACAAGTAAGAACTTATATCTAACTATAATAAACTTAAAATAAGTACATGTTTTTTAGTCTTATTACTAACAATAATATAGTGTTATACTTAAGTATAATAAAAAAATATGAAATGAATACAATGTTTTTTTTTTTTTATATCTATAATAACGAGTAGGTTTATTACATTATGTTGTACCTACCTACCTACCTACAGTTATTTTCTTGGTAATTCCGTAACCATCTTGCAAATGCCCTCACTTGTACATCACTACAATGACAGGTGCGTGATTTGCTCACAAAAACCGTGTGTCGTGAGCAATTCTTTAAATTATGTAAATTTAAGATTTCAATAATCTTTTCCACCTTAAGACAACCAATTACTTCTATGTTAAATGAGTTAAATCCTAATAAGTTGAATAGATTTTTTTCCACTACTCCCCCTTTATATAACCAAGTAAATTGTTTTTTTTTATCGAAATCTTTAATTTTATTTATTACATTACTATAACTCAAGTCGGTGCTAACATTTTTAAACGGTAGTCCGTGAATATTTTCCTCCTCCTCAAAGTGTATTATCCATGATCTTCTGCTTGGCCCTTTATTTATTAAATAGGGCTCCTCCGTCTGAATGTATTTAAACATATCTTCACTTATGGCATCGAAGCGGTTAGGTAGTGTAAGAATGAACCCATTTTCCAGGTGCACTATGGTTTGCATCCTGGATGCATGAAACTTTGAGGGGAGCCTTTTCACCCAGACTATTTTGTATGACTTGTTCAGCTCTAGGTCACCCAATTTGACCCATGTTTTTTGCCGAAAGTGTTGAGCTTGGCCAAGGCGGTGGTTGCGGATGAAGACATGATTTTTAAAAGTTGCACTTACGGTTTTCTGAGTAGATAGGTAGGTAATGCACTAGCACACAAGTTATGGTGAGACTGAAGAACACTGATGTTCGAGTTGGTATTTATATCCCCTATTCCATCCTGTTCCCATGTTATCATTTTATATATTATTCAAACTATCAACCACTTCCACCTATCGATAACTTTATTTTGCTGTAAGGAAAACCACAGAAACTGACTTCCACATTGATAAGGAATGGAAGCGAAGTGTTCTACACTCACGATCAATATTTTAGATAAACATTCCCTTGATTTGTTTTCCAACTAATGTTCTACTTCACTCCTAATCGGTATTTTAGATAAACACCCAGTTCCATTGATTTCACCGGTTTTTAATTTATCCAACTGATCATAGCTCCAAAATATTACACCTTCTAGTGTCATCTTAAATTGTTGGCATGATTCACTTAAAGGATAAGATGTAGTAGAAGTAGTAGTGGAAGAGTTTACCATCTCCATCAATGTTACTCTTTTAGCCGATTCATTATCTATTTGTTCACCCCTAGAACCATGATGACGATGAGAACTATTAGTTCTATGACCTCTTGGTACTTTTACAGTTATTTCCAAGCCTCTTTCATCAGTGAACTTCTGTTCAAACATATCATATGACCAAGATTGTTCTAAGTTATTTGTTACTTTACTGCTTTGCTTTGAACGGCTTTTGACGTAGTGTGTGATTTCCAATTTATACAGTAATAATCGATTATTACTATCGCATAAGCTTAAATTAAGCTGTTTCTTTGTTTTCATTTCATTACTTCGTAAAGTGATTACAGTATCATTTCTAGGAAAAGAAGCATTATTTTTGTCACCATAAAAGTAAAATTTAATCAGCCAATTCTTCACAAAATGATTTCCATTAAGATTTAGTAATTTAACTTTCTTCAAACTTAAGTTATTACTTACACATAAATTACGTAAATCGACATCTATAGATTGCGAAATGCTCTTCTCAAAAGTTGAGTATACTCCATCCTCATCTCGTTGAATTGAGAACACAATCACCCACGGTAAAAGACTTGTTAATAACATTTTTACTTGTGCATCAGTACTGTGCAAAGCATGATTGACAAGCAATATGGCGTGGAATCTATCAATTACTCATTTCCTATAAATCCTTTGTTTCATTCCTCTATCAATTTCAAATATTGCAATTGCATTGATTTTTTTCTAATAGAATAAATACAATGTAACTATCGCATCCTGTCAGACGATTGGTAAAATCGCGCAACATTAATAGCGTTGATTTTTTAATATGATAAAAGTCATGTGACATTGTGACCTATCTCATCCTGTCAAGCGATAAGTAAACATACAATGTATGAAACCAGCAATAGGTAAAAAATATAATGTACTTACGTAACCAGTCAACCTTCAAACACTAGGTAGGTACCCAAAGTTAGGTAGAATATGAGTGAGCCAGAACCTGTAATAATCATGGCGGGAGATAAGAAAAATACAATGTACCTATGTAACCAGTCAACCTTCAAACACTGCCCAAAGTTAGGTGGAATACCTGTAATAATCATAGCAGATGATAGGTTACCATACAATGTTCACAACAACCAGAAACCAGAGCTCCGAGACCCCTCCACAATGTAGCCGACCAAAAACCAGAGCCCCAAGACCCACCGCCACATACATCGCACTACCCAAACACAGCTCTAACAAAAAATTTACTATGAACACCAAAAATCACCAACGTAACATGAACCCTCAAACACCAACTAACACCTACCACACAGAGCTCTCATTACACTGGTCACAAAGTGTTCCCAAACCGGCGTATATATGCTACTCACTGTATACAAGTTTGTTGTTTTGCATTGTACTGTATTAAAAAAGGTAGAGTCAAAAAAATTTAAATAAAATGAAATAAATATACAATATTTAATCGAAATTTTATGCAAACAGTTATTTCAACTTGTACGATATAAATTAATGGACTATGAAAAGTCACATGCAACTAAGGAGTGGCAATATTAAATGTTATCGCACTAACAAATTTACAACTTTTATGAGTTACACGGATTTTTTGCACACAACTTTCACAGTTTTCCTAACAAAGTCCGAAGAATATGTACTATTGTTGCTAAGAATGTTACGAAGATATAATCTTAGGATTTAAAAAAAACCGTTGCGTGTTTATATATAATAAAAATGAATAGCAAAATATGTTTTTAGGCGCAAAACTCGAAGACGGCTGAACCAATTAAATTTTTTGTTATGGAGAGAAAAATCGGAGAAATTTATTTATTTATAAAAGCTTGCCAACGCTTGGCACACTGATACATTGATAAAAGAAAAATAAAATACAATTTTTAATGTGTCAAGCATTTACACGCAAACATAGCATACAAGAAGTAATAAAATTAATTAAGCAAAACAATAATATAATTTCAATAAACATTAAAAGAAAATCGCTCTCAAAGTGTGAGGTGAGCAACTATGGATGTCCAGATCCAGCTCGTTTAACAGAATGCTCAATCTGGACATCGGTGAATTTCGGCCAAGACGCGTTCTCCGGAAAGGAGGGATAAATGGAATGATGGGATGACTGAGTACACGAAATTTAAATTTTATTAAAAGGTTGGGGCAATCTAGCTGATTGTTAAGTATCTTAATGGCAAATGATACATCAATTAATTTTCTTCGATTCTCCAGTGACAACATCTTGAAGTGCGCTGCTTTCATATGTAGACAACTTTTTTTCGAGATGACACTGGAGAAAAGCAGATGCCATAGGAATCTTTTTTGTAAACGCTCCAGTCGTAACATATGAGTCGCATAATGCGGCCTCCATACGACTGTACCATAATCTAATATGCTGCGCACGAGACTATTGTATAGCATAATTTTTGTTTTGGTGCCTCGGAATTTTTGAGTGTTTCTCAGGACGAAACCAATCATCTTAGAGGCTTTCTTTATTGTTATGTCCTGGTGCTCCTTAAACGTTAGTTTATTGTCGAAAAGTACCCCCAAATCCCAACTTACTCTTTCTTCCCGAACCGTTGTGCTACCTATTTGATAGTTATGAATTATGATCTCCCTTTTCCTAGAAAAAAAAAAAATAAAAAATTCAAAAATCATTTATTCACGTAGGTAACACAATGTACACTTGTGATTCGTCATTAAAGAAATACATATTAATGCTTCTAATTTTACATTTACTGCCAGTTCACAAATCAAGGGCGTAGAACGGAAGAGAAGAACTGGCAATAAACTCTCCGCCACTCTTTTTAATCGCCATGTTTTTTTTTTTTACACAACGTTTGTAAGGAGCTGCAACCATTACACCATGTTGCACATGACATCTTAAGTAATTAATAATAATAACATAAATTAAAAACAAAGACTTGTCCTCTATCAGCGAACGAAATGACACTTTTGTACATTCAGCTCCATACCATTGGAAATACACCAGGAAGTCATATCATTTAAATCCGATTGGAGCAACAAGCAATCCTCGAAGTTACAAATTACGCGACAAAACTTGAGATCATCCACATACATATACTCTTTAGAATGCTTAAAACAAGTTACTATGTCATTTACAAATATATTAAATAGTATTGGCCCCCGATGAGATCCCTGTGGTACACCAGAAGTTATGTTTTGAAAAGCGGAACTAAAGCCATTAACGGCAACAAAAAATTGGCGGTTACATAAGTAAGATTCAATCCATATAAGAAAAGGTGCCGATAGGCCGTAGCTATATAACTTACTCAAAAGTACTGAGTGAGGAACTCGATCAAAGGCTTTGCTAAGGTCTGTGTAAATCGTAAATTCAGTATCCTCAACTAGGTTAGTTGTGGTTGATCTACGTTGCATAAAACCATATTATTGTGATACTGCTATTAACTGCTTAAAATGATAGTAAAGATATGGACACACAAGAGACTCAAGCAAGGGAAGAAATAATAGAAATGGGTCTATAATTCGCTATCAGGTCTTTCCCCCCGACTTATAAATAGGTACCACTTTTTCCGTTTTCCATTTGTCAGGAAAAACTCCTGAGGAAAGAGATTTATTATATATTGTGAGTAGAGGTTCTACCAAGTATTTAGCACAATTTGCTTATAAAAATATGTGGGATATCATCAGGGCCGGCACCCTTATACTGGTCCAAGTGTATTAGTTTCTTAAGAAGGTATAGGGTTCGCGTTGTTGGATATAACCACTATGTAAATAATAGTACTTGTGTGATCGTTGAATGTATATATTTTGCGTAAATATATACCGCGGCGTCGGCAGCGAGTAGTACGTATGTCCCGTATGATATCGTGAGCCGTACTAACTGAAGGAGCGCGCTGTGGAATGCGCGTACGCCTCGCCCCCGCCAGCTGCGGAGAACAATAGACACGGTTTACATGAAGAAGTTGGTAAGTACATTTTAGCAATTTAATATTTAATTTATTTTGGTAATTTTATTGATGTTTTTATTTGTTCTGTTTCAGCTACCGATGACGACGAGGACGCCACATCACTCCCCTGCCGAGACCGTTTCCCGGTCGATAGTAGTCCGGAAACTTAACTAATCTTCCACTTCTAGTCTTTTTTTCAGGTGGCGTTGCATCGTGATTGATGTGGAGCGGCAGTGCTGTCATCGGTAGACGGATGGTCGTGTCGTATTCTCTGTTTTCTTTCGTAAGGTAAGCTGGTTTTATTCTGTCTATTATTACTGTAACTTCTTTGCCTTTTATGTCTAATGAAAATGTTTTTGTATTTCTTTTCAGAACTTTATATGGGCCGGTATATGGTGATTCAAGCGATCGTTTTGCGGGACCACGGCGAAGAAAAACAAACTGTGCAGTATGTATGTCATTCGGCAAATATAATGTTTTACTGTTGTGGTTTGATGCAGGAGTTGGGGTTAATGCTGCCATATGATTTCTTAAGCGAGCTGTATAGTCTGCTGGATTTAGGTTCTGGTCAAGCTAAGGTGAGAAAAATTGTCCCGGTAGTCGTAGTGGTTCTCCATATACTAGCTCTGCGGCTGATGCCTGCAGATCTTCTTTCCAGGCAGCTCTTATTCCTAGTAGCACTAGGGGAAGTGTTTCAGTCCACTGTGGGTTGTTGTGACAGATGATGGCTGCTTTTAGTTGGCGATGTAATCTCTGCACCATTCCATTGCATTGCGGATGGTATGAGGTGGTGGGACGATGTTCTGCGCCGATCAGGTTGGTGATGCTTTGGAAGAGTTGTGATTGAAATTGTAAGCCTCTGTCTGTTGTTACAGTTTGTGGACATCCATGACGAGATACCCAGTTGGTAATGAACGCGGAAGCACAAGTTTCTGCTGTAATATCCGCTAGTGGATAGCCATCAGGCCAACGTGTGAAGCGGTCTATTGCTGTCAGGCAGTATCTAAAGCCATTAGAGTATGGTAATGGGCCTATAATGTCCAGGTGTACTTGGGCGAAACGTTTTGATGGTACTGGAAAGGTTGTAAATGGTGCGTTCATATGTCTGTTGACTTTACTTCGCTGGCAGTTTCCTTTCCCAAGTTTTGCAATCGCGTCTTACTCCGGGCCACACAAATCTTTGAGCTACCATGTTAGCAGTGGTAGGGCCGCTGGGATGGCTGAGTTGATGTATGGTTTCAAAAACGCGTTTGCGATAGGCAGGTGTTATGTACGGTCTAGGCGATTTGGTAGAAAAATCGCAGTACAGCAGGTTTTCAGCGATCTGTTTCAGTTGTAGTGCTGTGTTTTTGGTTAGCAAAGCTTGCAATTCAGAGTCTTGAGCCTGATCTCTTGCAAGTACGTCGTAATTTATAGTGACAATCTCTTCTACACGTGATAGGGCGTCAGCGACGATGTTGTCTTTACCGGGGATGTATTTTAGATCGGTGGTGAATTGAGATATATAGTCAAGATAGCGGAATTGTCTTGGAGAGCACTGGCTTCTGTTTGTTGTGAAGGCGTAGGTGATGGGCTTGTGGTCGGTGTAAATGCAAAAGTTTCTTGCTTCCAACATATATTTAAAGTGTTTGATACCTTCGTATATGGCCAGTAGCTCCCTATCGTATG